TTTTAAACATTCAACAAAACATCTTCCTTTTTTAAACATTCAACATAACATATTCCTTTTTTAAACATTCAACATAACATCTTTTTTAAACATTCAACATAACATATTCCTTTTTTTTAAATATTCAACATAACATATTCCTTTTTTTAAGCATTCAACATAACATCTTCCTTTTTTAAACATTCAACATAACATCTTCCTTTTTTATACATTCAACATAACATATTCCTTTTTTAAACATTCAACATAACATATTCCTTTTTTTAAACATTCAACATAACATATTCCTTTTTTTAAACATTCAACATAATATCTTCCTTTCATCTGAACATTTAACTTAACATCTTCCTTTTCTTCTAAACATTTAACACAACATCATTCTTGCTTCTGTCTCAGGTACTAAGCTTTAACTACCATAATCATTCCTGCTTCTGTCTCAGGTACTAAGCTTTAATTGCCATAGTCATTCCTGCTTCTGTATCAGGTACGATGCTTTAACTACCATAGGTGTTCCTTCTTCTATCTCTGTTAATAAGCTTTATTTACCATAGTCAACCATGCTTCTGTTTTAGTCATTAAAGTTTAACTACCCTAGTTAACCCTCGGTTTTACACATTGAATATACTTATCCTAGTCTCTTCTGCATCTTTATTTTTAGATCTTAAAAATGTATCTTGTATTGTTTAATTGTTCGTAAAGAAAACGTTAATTCAAAAACCACTGTATTTGTAACCTGCCTACATGTTTCGAGTTTCACAGTTTCTGAATTTAACCCTACATCGTGCCTTATAGAAATAGACTTTTATCACACTAATCACAAATTTCGAATTAGAGAATAAATGATAAAAAAACTACTTTGTAATTTTCTAATTCAATTATAATTTCTTTATTTGTTGTTTAGCGGAAAGCTATGTAATGGGCTATCTGTGCTCTGCCCACAGTGTGTAGGGAAAATCCGATTTTTAGCGATATAAGCCCTAAAAATTACCGTTGAGCCATCGGTGGGTTCTATAGTTTTGTGAGAGATGTTATTATGGAACGAAAATAGTTTAATTCCTGGAAAAATTGTTTTGTTTTAAATCGCCTGAAAGAAGAAATATAATTAAGAAAACAATAAATATTAATTACTGTTCTGTTCCAAGCAATAAAAACGTGCACAAAGTTTAAATTAGATTTCGATACAAAATTGCCCAACAAAATTTTAAAGAAAATATTAGAAAAGATTCTTCGCTTTTAACGCTTCCTGCAAGTGAAGAAAACGTCTTTGCACATATATTTTACAAGAGGACGATTTTAACGTTCTTTTAATGCATTTCAACGAAACAATATTTTTTTTCTTGTATCCTAAACCAGAACTAACAATTTAGTACTAGAATAATGACATATAACTGCTTCCAATATAAATTTGCAATGCTTTTCCTAAGAATTATAACTGACGTTATTGCCAGAAAATCCACACAATCAATTCGACGCGTCTAGACTTAATAATGACATTGTATTGAATACGTTTGTATTTATAAGCTGCATTTTAAATCTCACACTCGGCTCTTCCTTATGATACATTAAAGGTATCTCAAGAGAGTTAAAAATGAACTGTTTATATCATTAAAATTTACTCAAAATAGAGAAATCTATTAGATGGTTTGTTACTGTGCTCTTGATAGGTCCACAACTATCATCAAAAATATCCTAATGACATTGTTAAAATATATTCAATATCCAAAAGCACTAATAACCGAAACAAAAAAAATTGAAATTATGGAGCAAATATTTTGTAGAAAACTTGATAGTAAAATCGTGCTGTAGAAGAATAATCGTTTCTATTCGGATATATGTTTGATATGTATAGAAACAATCATACTACTGTGTTTTTAATTACATAAAACAACCAACCGTTCATTTATGTTTAGGTATTAATTTATAATACCTAATATGCACATATACATTGCATTAAATAGAACAATAATAACAGAAGACAAATTGGAAGGATTGCAAATTGGGTATTTTAAAGATATGTTTGTTACCATAGATATAAGCTTACCTTGAGACCACAGAATTACTATTACACAAACTACACCACAACAATACGGCATGTCTTGTAGTTTATCAGATGACTTCTTTCCCGTACAACTAGCGACTATAAAATGGGAAAACGTTTCCGTGGTAACTGGGTAGGTGAAGTCTGCAGCAGCTCCCTCTTGTGTTAACTATTGTTAAGTTTAAACTATCCTGTAAGAATATAATTTGAACTGCTTATTTATTTTTCAAACTTGACTTTTTTTTTTTGGTTTTATTTGATTCAGAATAAATATTTAAAGAAAAATTTTACTTTTTCTCTAACAATGCATTCTATAATTTATAAGTAAGTAAGAACTTAAGAATAATAGAGCAATCTACTGTATGTTCTTTACTGTATTGGTTTTAGTTCTAATCTACGTTGCTAGCTTGCTTATTCAGAAGTTAATACTGACTGCTATGTTCGGTATTTGAATATCAGACACATGTAATTCAGAGCTTGAGATGCGTATCAATTAACTTTTAGTAAACTTTCGTCAGTACCAGTGACTGATGATGATATATCGGGATACTTTTATAAAGAGCTTACCTGTATACTTATAGGTAGAATATCACGTATAAATTATGTATCAGTTGTCAATGTATAATAATTTTATAAAGAGCTTACCTGTATACTTATAGGTAGAATATCACGTATAAATTATGTATCAGTTGTCAATATATAATACTTTTATAAAGAGCTTACCTGTATACTTATAGGTAGAATATCACGTATAAATTATGTATCAATTGTCAATGTATAATACTTTTATAAAGAGCTTACCTGTATACTTATAGGTAGAATATCACGTATAAATTATGTATCAGTTGTCAATGTATAATACTTTTATAAAGAGCTTACCTGTATACTTATAGGTAGAATATCACGTATAAATTATGTATCAATTGTCAATGTATAATACTTCTAAAAGAAGTGAAAGCTGTAAACCTAAAGCGAATTTGATGATGAATGTAAAATAATCATCAGAATATCTTCAACACTCTGGTTGAAAGTGTTCCAACACATCAGTAACTTGAATACCAACTTATTTTGTCACATCATTTAGTGAGCCAGTAATTTTTCTATTCAAGTTATACGTAATTGAAGTAAGATCGACATAGTTTATTTACTGGAAATATGAAAGGTACGACGAACATGTATTTTTTAGATGGTTAGACATCATGTGAAACTTGAGCCATGTGTGGTCTTAGTTTACTTTTCGATATTTGCTCTGGAAATACGAACTTTGTTTCCAAGGATGAGGCTTGTAATTACGAAATACTCACACACATATCATTTCTGTGCCAACTGTCATTAGCCTCAGAAGACTAGGAAGACTCTGTGGCACGTGGAGTGTGAAACTATTTACCGAACAGCATCTGAATGGCTAACATCACACTTGATAGGTTGATCAATAGGCGCAGCCTCGGAGCTTCGACACAGAACAATACTGCGTTTGAAACTTTCAGCTTCTATTATATACATAGCGCTATTGAAGAAATGTATAGCACAGCTCTGGATGAGATTGGGAATGTTGATATTATTTAATCAAACATGAAGACGTTCCTTTCTAACCACACATTTCAAGCTCAGAACAAAAATTATTATAGTACAAATATCTCTTTTGGTTGTATACATATCTGAATTTATATACAACACATTGTTTTAAACTGTTTACACGGAGCAGTGTATTTTAATTTTTTTTAAATGAGTTGAGATTAAAAAATGAGTAATATATCACTTAAATCCTTAGGATGAACAAACGAACAAAACAAAGCTGTGAAATGGATGTGAACTTTGGTATTAGCTGTTTAGAAAAACTATGAAAATCATGATCCTAATAACAAAAACAAAACAAATGAAATTTTAACAGTTTGAAGTTTAAAACTTAAATATTATAGTATAACACGTTCTCATTATTTATGCATTTAGTGAATAGAACATGCTTTTATTGACTTAGAAGTCTAGCCATTGTCAACCAACCAAGAAAATAAACTGAAAGAACATGCTCTGTTGTTTTCTTTTATTCAGTTTTAGTTGGCATCATATTATTTAAATTTGGTTATATTTATAATAATCTATAACTAAAACATAATCTACATCACATGATATAATACTATATTTTCAGAAGTATGCACTTTCCCTCCGCGTTTCTTGTTTTATCCTCAATAAAAAAGATATATTGAGACATATAGATTTCTTTATATTTTACTGACTTTGAGCAGATACCGATGGTTTTTAGATTTCAGTAAAACATTTATACAATTTTACAGCGATAAACTATGAGTAGGAAAGTTATATGGTAACATAAATTTAACGATGTAAACCTTGGACATAGTTAGGGATTTATAGTCTGACAAAATGGATGGAAACATGTTGGCTTTTTTCAGTTTTATTTACGTGTTCTTACTGAAAGTTATGTTTTGTGAATTATACTAATCGTGAATTAATAGTGAAAAAAAGGAAGATTATAGTAGTTAAAGCTTAGTACCTGAGACAGAAGCAGGAATGATTATGGTAGTTAAAAGCTTAGTACCTGAGACAGAAAAAGGAATAACTATGTTAACTGAAGCTTAGAAGCAGGAATGATTGTTTGTTTGTTTGTTTATTTTGAACTTCGAGTCCGGCATGGCCAGGTGGTTAAGGCACTCGACTCGCAATCTGAGGGTCGCGGGTTCGAATCCCAGTCCCACCAAACATTCTCGCCCTTTCAGCCGTGGGTCGTTATAATGTACGGTCAATCCCACTATTCGTTTGTAAAAGAGTAGTCCAGGAGTTGGCGGTGGGTGGGAATAAGGAGCGGCTAGCGCAGATAGCCCTCGTGTAGCTTTGTCTTTTCACCATGGAGACACAAACCCTAAATAGTATCCATTAACTCCATAAAAGGAGTTCACAAGTGCTCGTTGTGTTTTCATAACATGTATCAAACCAAATAACATTTAGCTGTCATTTGTGTTCGGCGCGGAACAGACTAGTCGTGCAGTCTGGTGTATTTCATTAGATCACGTGACAAAATTATATGGGAGACCCCCTCTCTACAACTTTTTAATTTTTTTCTGAGCAAGAGTAAGTGGAACTTGTAATTGAAAAATACCATGCACGTTAGTTCGCGAACACATAAGTATATATTGTCTGCTCTTATAATTAAAATTTATAGAATCACTTAATATATGAGCCCTCACTGTTTTTCATCTGGTCTTTCCAATCATTATGAAATTTAAGATATTCCCGAATTTTATTATTCGATAATCATGTTTTTTTTCAGACATGTTTATGCACTTTTATGTAGAAACCTAAACATTGTTTTCTCGTTTTGATATTTTTCTTTCTCCACAAGAACATGCATCCCCCCTCACTCCTTCTTAGTTTTTTAAGAGTACGTAGTTTGAATATGGTTTAAGGTTAAGTTTAATCCCCCCCCCTCACTCCTTCTTAGTTTTTTAAGAGTACGTAGTTTAAATATGGTTTAAGGTTAAGTTTAATCCCCCCCTCACTCCTTCTTAGTTTTTTAACAGTACGTAGTTTGAATATGGTTTAAGGTTAAGTTGGATAGTTATCTTGTGTTCAGCCATTAAAACGTTTAATTATAAAATCTTGAAATTGAGAAACAAATAGCTAAGTATAAACAACTCTTGTATGCAGAAATCATACAAGATTAAACCAAAAATTGTATTACATTTACCTACATTCTTTAATATTTAGTTTTCAGCTTCACTAGCATTTCTTTACTCCGTATGATCTGTGCAAGAAATTTCTGAGGTTTCTGTCTGCGGTTGAAAGATAGAGCAACAGCCATTTATTTAAATAGTATATTTGAGAGAAAACAAATTTTGCCACAGGCGTCTCACAACCTTACTCTAAAAAATATCTGCGTTCGAATGAGTAACGTACACAGACAAGCTAACGGAGGGCGTTGTATAAAAATATGATTATATGATAAGATGGTACGTTCACAAAAGCAGTTCAGAGAGTCAAATGTGCAGAAATATCTATACATGTAACGTAATGATGGACGTTCTATAAATATCTAATTATAGAATTAAATACAACATTCAGATATTAATAGAAATTCAGAGAATATCTACGTATACATACAGATATAATAATGCTTGGAGACGGCTTGAATGGATAATGAAGAAAAACCTTAATATAACTTTAACATAACAGCAAATATACAACGTTTCGACAAGGTTTTTGTCATCATCAGGTACCTCCGAGTATTATTAATCTCAAAGTGGGTTCCTCGTCATCGAATACAGATATAATATCCAGATAGATATAATAATAATGAACATTCTATAGAAGTATATTGATATCATTAAATGCTGCGTTTAAATAAAAAACTAATAATTTAGAGAATAGAATTATAAAGATAGATAAAGTAATGACAGACATCCTGTAAAAGTGTAGTTGCAGAATAAAATGTGTTTATATTTAAACAGTACATTAAGAGGAAACAAGTACATATAATAGACGTATTAAATTAATCGTTATATATATGTGGTTAATGGATACTATTTAGAGTTTGTGTCTCCATGGTGAAGAGTTAATGGATATTAATTAGGGTTTGTGTCTCCATGGTGAAGAGTTAATGGATACTATTTAGGGTTTGTGTTTCCATGATGAAGAGTTAATGGATACTAATTAGGGTTTGTGTCTCCATGATGAAGAATTAATGGATACTATTTAGAGTTTGTGTCTCCATGGTGAAGAGTTAATGGATACTATTTAG